GTAAAAGGATCCATAGAACAAGAAGAGCTAACAATCCTAAATATATATGGACCCAATACAGGAGCAGATTAGGTCCAGATATATTTAGGGTAGATAAGGCAAGTTCTTCATGACTTACAAAGAGATTTAGACTCCCACACAGTAATAGTGGGAGACTTTAACACTCCACTGTCAGTTTTAGACAGATCAACCAGACAGAAAATTAACAAGGATATCCAGGGCTTGAACTCAGACCTGAAACAAGCAAACCTGATAGACATTTACAGAACTCTCCACCCCAAATCCACAGAATATACATTCTTATCAGCACCACATTGCACCTACTCTAAAATTGACCACATAATTGGAAGTAAATCACTCCTCAGCAAATGCAAAACAACTGAAATCATAACAAACAGTCTCTCAGACCATAGTGCAATCAAGTTAGAACTCAGAATTCAGAAACGAACTCAGAACCACACAGCTTCATGGAGACTGAACAACTGGCTCTTGAATGTTGACTGGATTAAACAATGAAATAAAGGCAGAAATAAAAAAGTTCTTCGAAACCAATGAGAACGAAGACACAACATACCAGAATCTCTGGGACACATTTAAAGCAGTCTCCAGAGGAAAATATATAGCAATAAGTGCCCACGTGAGAAGAGTGGAGAGATCCATAATTGACACCCTATAGTCAAAATTGAAAGAGCTAGAGGAGCAAGGTCAGAAAAAACTCAAAACCTAACAGAAGACAAGAAATAACTAAGATCAGAGAAGAACTGAAGGAGATAGAGACACAAAAAAAAACCCTTCAAAAAATCAATAAATCCAAGAGCTGGTTTTTTGAAAAGATCAACAAAATAGACAGACCACTAGCCAGACTGATAAAAAAGAAAAGAGAGAACAACCAAATAGATGCAATAAAAAACGATAAAGGTGAAATCACTACGGATTCCACAGAAATTCAAACCATCATCAGAGAATATTACAAACAACTCTATGCACATAAACTAGTAAACCTGGAAGAAATGGATAAATTCTTGGACACTTTTCTTGTGGATGACTAAACTCTCAGGCAGATTCTCTCTTTTCACCTCAGAGAGCTACGAGCTGTTTTATGCAGTTTCTACCTGCCCAGAGGATTAGCCTTCTAAAGAAGAAGCTCTTTTTATCCAATAATTCTAACAAAATCCCACAGCTGAGTCACTGGCTCAGCAGGTCTCTTGATGACTGTCCATGAATGCTTCCCAAAATACATTGCGTGTAAAGGAAGGGACAGACAAAGAAAAGGAGAGTTTGGTTCCCTACAGAAAAATTAAGGTGGTATCAGTGAGTGATAGGTTTTCTTTTAAAGTCTATTTTATTTTATATTAAAATAGCCTCTCTAGAGCTCTTTCAATTTTTACTGCGTAAAATTTTGTGAGCCTTTTATATTTAACTTAATATGCCTTTATAACAGAAAAGATATTTTTAGATAGCACAGAGTTTTGTTTGCTTTTCTATTGAATCTGGCACACTTCATCTTCTAATTTTGTGTCTAGAGTACTTCTGGTTAATGAACATATGGGTGGAATAAATGGTACCACTGATTCTGCCGAATTAAGTTTACCATCTTGATACTTCATCTTTACTTGCTTTAAGTATTTCTCATTTCTTTCATTCACATTTTTTTGAGTTGGATTGTTTTCATGATTCCATTTATTTTGCATGCTCTATTGACTTCTTATTCTAAGTCTTAAAAATTGTGACAGTTTTCTAGTAGTTTACAATATATTTACTAGTAAATTATTGATTTTTTTTTTTTTTTTTTTTTGGAGACCGTCTCACTCCATCACCAGGCGCCAGGATGGAGTGCAGTGGCATGACCTCTGCTCCCAGGTTCAAGAAGTTCTCCTGCCTTAGCCTTCCCAGTATCTGAAATTATTGATTTTTTATAGACCCTAAAAGAGTAAACATCTAAGTCTTTCTTATCCATGATGCTACTGTTGCACACTTTATTTTAAAGACTCTATAAATGCTATTCATCGGTGTCTTTTCCTAAGACTCATATGTTTTAGAGCAATTTAAAATAACTTTTAAATATAGATCATTAACATAATTTCTTGTGCTCTGTATTTATTTATGTAGCTTTGAGTTTCTATCTAATATGATTTTGCTTCTCCTTGGATACCTTACTTTAACCTTCCTGTTAGCACATACCTACTATCAATGAATTATCTCAGTTTTTGTTGGATTAAAATTTTTTATTAATTTTAGAAAGATTTTCATTGTGTATATGATTCCAGGTTGACAGTTTTGTTGTTTCCCCATCAACATTTTCAATTTCTCATCTTTTTTTTTCTATACTAACTTTTGTAGTTACTGCTAGGATATCTGTTGTAATGCTTTCTTTTATTAGATCTGTTGTTCTAAAGTAGAGATGAATTTGTGTCTCCACCACCACTAAGGGTCATTTGGCAAAGGTGGAGATATTTTGATTGTCACAACTGGAAAGAGGTAGTCCTGACATCTAATGCATAGAGGCTAGGGACAGGTAAGCATCCTACAATTTACAGGATAGTGCCAAACATTAACCATTTTCCAGTTTAAAAAAAAATGTTAATAATGCTGATGTTGAAAAGCCCCTCTTGATGTGTAATGGTTCTTCCTTTCAGTATTTTCTCTTTTACTTTTTTCCTTCTCCCAGTGTATGATCTCTCTATCTATCTATCTATCTATCTATCTCTCATGTCCTTTGCATTGACATCGATGCAGCTAGAAGCCATCATCCTAAGTAAATTATTACAGAAAAGGAAACTAAATATTGCATGTTCTCACTCACAAATGGGAGCTAAACATCAGGTACCCATCCATGGACATAAAGAAGGAAACAATAGACACTGGGGAATATAAGAGGGGAGAGGGAAGAGAGAGAGGGGGAAGTGTTGTAAAACTACCTGTTGGGTACTATGCTCACTACCTGAGTGATACATTCAATCATAGTTCAAACCGCAGCATCAATGAATATACCTTTGTAACAAATCTGCACACATACTCCCTGAATCTAAAATAAACTTGAAAAAATAAAGAATGCTGAAATCTGTGCTTTTCTAGAAATAAACATATTTATTCATAATTTTAATAATTAAAATAAAAAGTAAAATTCACCCCAATTAATATAATTAAAAGATGCATTTCCATTGATAATTTTACAGTTTCTCTTTCAACATTTGATAAAAATGTGTAACACATTGAAGGTGTTGAGTAGAACAATGGTGATGTTTGAGTTGAACTATGCTGATGATTTTTGCAGTAATTACTCATTGTAAATAAAAATCACTTAGAACCTTATTACCACAAGAAATAAATGGTTAACTTACCTACATTTATTAATTACAAAGTAATATACTCATATGACTCATAAGAGATACAATTCTGGAGAGTAAATGGAACTTCAATGTGAGTTCAGGGACAAAAGAAGTGATAAGAAATCTGATAATCTATGTATTTTAAATTAATCATGTTAGACATGGGGTAACTATGGCATACAATGAAATTATATTTTTTCTTTTTCAATTAAAATTTATAATGAATTATTTTTGAAGTATACTAAGATTTTCAATAATGATATAGTAAAGAGCATGAACAATGTTCAGGAGGTGATTATGAATATTATTCATTCTCTCTACTACTGAATAAAATTTCTGTCTTGCTCTTTTGCTTTTCTTAAAAACCTAATCATCCGCTGGAGAGGATGTGGAGGAATAGGAACACTTTTACACTGTTGGTGGGAGTGTAAATTAGTTCAACCATTGTGGAAGACAGTGTGGCGATTCCTCAAGGCCTTAGAAATAGAAATTCCATTTGACCCAGCAATCCCATTACTGGGTATATATCGAAAAAACTATAAATCATTCTACTATAAGGACACATGCACACGAATGTTCATTGCAGCACTGTTTACAACAGCAAAGACCTGGAACCAACCCAAATGTCCATCCACAATAGACTGGATTGGGAAAATGTGGCACATATACACCATGGAATATTATGCAGCAATCAAAAAGGATGAGTTTGTGGCCTTTGTAGGAACATGGATGAATTTGGAGAACATCATTCTCAGCAAACTGACACAAGAACAAAAAATGAAATACCACATATTCTTGCTCATAGGTGGGTGATGAAAAAAGAGAACACATGGACACAGGGAAGGGAGTACTACACACTGGGGTCTACAGGGGGGAATAGGGGAGGGACAGCAGGGAGGGAGGAGGGGGAGGGATAGCCTGGGGAGAAATGCCAAATGAGGGTGAAGGGGAAGATGGCAGCAAAACACACTGCCATGTGTGTACCTATGCAACTATCTTGCATGATCTGCACATGTACCCCAAAACCTAAAATGCAATAAAAATAAATAAATTAATGAATTAATTAAACTTTTTTTAAAAAACCCAATCATCCTTCAAGGCCAAATTAAAATAGCATGCAATTCTGAAACTATCTTTCCTGCATCTCCAAATGGATTTGAAGTAACTCTTTCCACCACTCCTTTTAAGATATTTACCAACACTACTGGATTTTGAAATCCTAGAAAGTGGGTCTATCATTTTCTGAATGCCATTTTTTCACTAAACTTATAATACAAAATTGTTTGTTCAATTAACACAATATATCAGGAAAGAAAGGATGACATAATTAGCCTTAACTACACATATGTAATATGTCAGCTACATTGTTTACATTTTTCATTTGCTTTCTACAACGTCTTATGAACTAAATAATATTACATGGCAGGGTGAGGTGGTTCATGCCTGTAATCCCAGCGCTCTGGGAGGCCAAGGCAAGCAGATCACCTAAAGTCAGGAGTTCAAGACCAGCTTGGTCAACATGTTGAAACCCCTTCTCTACTAAAAAATACAAGAATTAGCTGGGCATGGTGGAGGGCACCTGTAATCCCAGCTACTCGGGAGGCTGAGGTGGGAGAATTGCTTGAACCCAAGAGGTGGAGTTTGCAGTGAGCTGAGATAGCACCACTGAATGCCAGCCTGGGTGAGAAAGCAAGACTCCATCTGAAAATAAATAAACAAATAAATAATATTATATTATTTTGTAGACAAAATATTTTGTAGGCAAAGACAATTATTATTTTGTAGTCAAGGTCAATCTGTCTTGTCTGGCTTATACAAGCTGAGCCAATAATAGCCTTCCTGATCCAAATCTCATAGTCATTCTATTGAGAAAAAGTTTGTTTTTAATCTAAAGTTATTTTTTTAGTGAACTCTTCATGCAAAGTCCATTCATAAAAAAAAAAGAAAAAAGTTGTTGTTCAGTAACCAAATTAAATGGATACTAAGGTGTATGTTTAATAAGAAAATATTTTGTGTTTATTATTTTTCTGATTGTATCCTTGACATCTTTATTTCTCAGACTGTAGATCAGGGGATTCAACATGGGGATCACCACTGTGTAAAACACAGAGGCCACTTTGACTGTGTGCCTGGAGTTTTTGGAGTTGGGCACACAGTAGAGGAAGAGGATGGTGCCATGGAAGATGGTGATGGCAGTCAGGTGGGAGGCACAGGTGGAGAAGACTTTGCGGTGCCCACTGGCTGAAGGCATCTTCAAGGTGGTGGTAACGATGAATACATAAGATGTCAGAATGATGAGTAGTGTGCTTATCTCATTTAAAGTGGCAACAGTGAAAAGAAGCAACTGGCTGAGATAAGAGTCAGAGCAAGAGAGTGATATCAGAGAGGATAACTCACAGAAGAAGTGATTGATTGTGTTGAAACCACGAAAAGATAACTTTAAAGCAGAGCATGTGAGTGTCAAGGAACATGCTACTCCCCATGCATACGATCCAACCACCAGCATGGCACAGACTTTCTGGGACATGGCAACTCTGTAGAGCAGAGGGTTGCAAATGGCCACAAAGCGATCATAGGCCATCACGGCAAACAGAATTAATTCAGTCCCTACAAAGGTGCAAAAGAGAAAGAATTGCACCATACACCCTGAGAATGAAATGGTTCTATCTTCTACAACCAGGTTCACCAACATCTTGGGAGCAATGATGGAGGAATAGCAGAAATCCACAAAGGAGAGGTGGCTGAGGAAAAAATACATGGGGGTGTGCAATTTTGGGTTAATTTTGATGATCACTATCATCCCAAGATTCCCTACCACACTGAAGCCATAGACTGCCAGAAATACAAAGAAGAGGGGAATTTGCAGTTCCAGGTAATCTGAGAAGCCCAAGAGGGTGAATGTGGCCTCAGATGTCATATTTCTCTCTGTCAGAAACATGTTTTCCTTTGGTGTGATCCAAAAATCAGTTGTGGAAATAAAATATTGAAGGTGATTGACAAATAAGACAGCTTAACTATCCCCTCTGTGGAATACAGGGTGAGACGAAATAGATCTCTGTTATCATCCTGTTAGGTGCTGTGTCAAGACAGGAGTAATTATAATTTCAGAAATAGAATTATCATTAAATGTTACTTTCTTCAAATTAAAAAATTAATTCTGTTTATGTTCTTAAATTTTTAAAAACATGTAGTTGTCATTATTAACTCAAGCAATTCAGGTGATAACATATAATAAAATTCTCATATAAAACATTTGAATCTCACAGAACCTCAAAAGTTCTGCAAATAAAAATCCAGGGAAATAACGAATCATATCAGACCTATAATTTCTTATTTTTTGTTTGTCTTATTATTATTTATTTATTTATTTTGAGACGGAGTTTCACTCTTGTTACCCAGGCTGGAGTACAATGACACGATCTCTGCTCACCACAACCTCTGCCTCCTGGGTTCAGGCAATTCTCCTGCCTCAGCCTCCTGAGTAGCTGGAATTACAGGCACGCACCACCATGTCCAGCTAATTTTTTGTATTTTTAGTAGAGACGGGGTTTCACCATGTTAACCAGGATGGTCTCGATCTCTTGACCTCGTGATCCACCAGCCTCGGCCTCCCAAAGTGCTGGGATTACAGGCTTGAGCCACCGCGCCTGGCCCAGTCCTATAATTTCTAACAAAAATTGAGTCTGATATAATTTCTATCATTGCAACAATTTTCTATATATTGTAATATACTGAATTATAGTCTTGGAGTTATCATTTCTATCCATAGTTAATTTTTAGTTTGGCATTTTAATCATTATTCTTTTGGACTAAATAAGTCAGACATCCAAATCAGTAATTATTTTATGTTTTTCATTGAAGACCATCTATTGAATGGCTTAATTCTACAGATGAACAAACAGAAGCTTGAAGAAGCCATGACTTCACCAAGACAGGTACAAATTGGATGCAGTGAACCCAGTTTCCTTGACTCCCAGTCATATACTCGCCTCTCTATGCCAGGATCTAATCTACATTACAGGTAGAAATTTCAACATTCTTCTTTGTAAAGATCACATTTTCATATATCATTTTCTAATTCTTTTGACCTCCATTTAAGACAATCTTTAGATTATAAAACTATAGAAATTAGCCCAGTGAAAGTGTTGATGGACTCAAAGATTTTCTGAATATTTATCAAAGTGAGACATAGAGAATAGAAGTTAGAGAAATATCCCCATTCAGGAGCAAATATCATAAAAACCTGTAAACATTAACAAACACATTTTCTTTTTCTAGGTTCCCTCTTCTTTCCCTTAACGTCAGCTTGGACACTCATTCTGTCCTTCTCTTACCTGTCAACAATATAGATGAAATTCTTAAGATGTCACCCCACTCTAAAGACATTAATGAGAAAATAGTTTTCAATACAGAGAGAATGGGGGTGTTCTCAAATTGGGGAATAGGGGCAGGTTTATAATATAAAATACAGAATCCCAGTCAAATTTGAATCTCAGACAGATAAAAAATTGTTTGCTCTATGTATGGCCCAAATATTGCATGGAACATACTTATAGTAAAAACCATTTTTGCTTATCTGAATTTGAAATTTAATTAAGCGTCCTGCATTTTTGTCTGCTCAGTCTTGCAACCCTATATCAAAATACCTCAGCATCTTATAGCAAGAAACACCCTAGTTTACCTGGCACATTCCTCATCTTAGTACTGTCAGCCACTCACAACCCAAATCCTCTCAATTATATTCCTTTTTAATTAAGACTTATGAGGACTGTCATTTTTGGTAAGGTCATCTCCAATTCTGCAATTCAGTAAATAGCTTCTAAGTGTTCCAGCACTAACAGGGTCTCAGGCAATACCAAGAATTCTCCATAGTTCTATATGTTCATATATCCAAGAATTTTAAGCACCAGTAAGGATACAGTATTTTCCACTCATTTCTCACTATTATAAAATTCGTTATCATTGCCCTATGTCAAGGTTTATAAACTTCAGCAGTACTGACACTGTGATGGATTATTCTTTGTTGTAGGAAGCTACCCTGTGCATTGTACCATGTCTGGCAGCATCTCTGGCTTCCAACCACTAGATGTAAATCTCACTTCCTCACCTCCTTACCCAGATGTGAAAATCAAAACAATTTCCAGACATTGCCAAATGTTTCCATCAGGAAAGTGGGGGATAGGGAATGCATATTTCCTTGATTATAATAGATTGTAATGTATCTTCCATTAAATTCAGTTTAAGACTAAGTTGCAATTTAAATATTATGGTTTGTTATCTCCCAAATTATACTATTACATGGATTAAACTGTTGTATTATCTTTGAATCTGGGCAACGTGGTGTCCAAAATCTTCTTCCATGTAATATCTTCCTTTTATTTTTCTTTTTGCCTTTCTGAGCCACTGTTGTTTTTTTCATGCTCTGAAATATTTAGATTAAGTTGCCTTTATTATGTTTCTACAGAAGATTCATTTTATTCATTAAAAATTTAATTTTACATAAATACCTATTTCCCTTATTCAGTTCTTCTAAAAATGTATAGAGGCAAAGATATACATATATATTCCTGAATATGCTCAATGCCCGTTTATTCTCTGACTCCCAGGAAACAGTTGTTCAAGACACTGCTATCAGAGACATCAGCTAAGACAAGCCCTCTACACAAGGCTCTGTAGGAAAGGGGTACTTTCTATCCCCAGACATGCAGATACATAATATCTGTTGTGACTTGAAATTTCCCCCAAGTTAGTTTCACAAGGAAAAACAGACAAAATTGAAAGCATCTTCTAGATACTATACATGAAAAAAATATTCACATTTTCTCAGACCTGTGAACAAATCTGCTGGTGGAAAAGGCAGCCCTCCTGTCTCTGGAGAGCTTATCTTCAGGAGATGCTAAGACTTTTATTTCTATTGCCACTCCCATTGGCATCATGACCTAGACAATTAGTTGCCTTAATCCCCAGGAGACTCAAAACAAGCTATTAAAATTAAATACTCTTTGCTGATGTAATTCTGGTTTCATGGAAAACCTGAAGGAAACAACCACAGCTTTAGGAACATTTTTATGAAAGTTAACTTAAAAGTTTAAGTGTCATCTCCTTATGTTTCAAGATTATTCCTATCATGTCTCTTTTTTGTATAATGATGAAGTATAGCGGGGGTTTTCTGTTTTATTTACTCAACAATTATTTCTTTTTTAAAAAAATTAGCAATAAGTGAGCCTCTGATAAATCTCATTGGCTACAATACTGTCACTGCGCAAAGCTAGCAATTATTTCTTAAATATATACCATGCCCCTGGTCTTCACAGATCTTAACTGTTCTCTCTGTTACACTAACCACACGAAAGATACAGGGAGATCCTTCCTTCAGGTCTCGCATTTACTTAGTTACTTTATTGCTAAGGATATTAGATGCAGTGCATATATGCATGTGTAGAGAGGACAGGACTGCAAATGTTTGAAATTTGTTCCTTAATGTCCCCCAAGAAATTATATGTAGCTACACCCAATATATTAGGGTATCTAATGTTGTTACAAACATCTCACATATCGGTAAACAAATATTATAATAGCTATAATAATACCAGTAATATCTGCTGTTCATCTCCTCTTTAGTTCTGATTTATCATATAACTTTCATCAAGCTATTCAGACTCTTAAATCTTTTCAAATCCCACACTTCCCATGAAATTCTTGATTATCTTCTTCATCACCACTGATATTCCTTTTTTTTTTTTTTTTCAGTTTATTTCTGGTCAATTTTACTATTAAGAACTATTTGGAAAGCTATATTTTCAGGGCTTTTAAGATTAACAATTCCAGATAAGGGAGTATAGGCCTGCAACGACATTATCAACATGATCTTCTTCTCTTGATGCATCATAAAAAATAAGTATGTTGAACACGTTTCCTTGATCCATGTTGAACTTTGATTTAGTGTTATCTATTGGAAGCTACTCATTCTCATATTAATCTCAGAAAGGTATTAACTATGTTTTGTTCTGGTCTTGTTTTAATTCTAGGCTTATGCAATAGGCAGGTAAGATTTCTTTATATATATATAAAAATATAAAAAATATATATATTCTTTTTATATATATATTCTTATATATAAATTTATATATATTCTTATATATAAATTTATATATATATTCTTTTTATATATATATTCTTATATATAAATTTATATATATATTCTTATATATATAGAATATATATTTATATATATAGAATATATATTTATTTATATAAATTTATATATAAATATATATTTATATATAAGAATATATATATAAATAGAATATATATATTCTTTATATTTTTATATATATATAAAGAAATCTTAGCTGCCTATTGCATAAGCCTAGAATTATATGCAATATATATGCATACATATACATACTTTAAGTTATGGAGTACATGTGCAAATCTTGCAGGATTGTTACATAGGTACATACATGCCATGGTGGTTTACTGCCTCCATCCCCCCATCACCTACATCAGGCATTTCTCTCAATGTTATACCTCCCCAAACTCCCCACCCCCTACTATCCCTCCCCTAGCCCCCCAACCCCCAACAGTCCCCAGTGTGTGATGTTCCCCTCCCTGTGTCCATATGTTCTCTTTGTTCAACACCCACCTATGAGTGAGAACATATGGTGTCTGGTTTTCTGTTCTTGTGTGAGTTTGCTGAGAATGATGGTTTCCGGATTCATCATGTCCCTAAAAAGGACATAAACTCATCCTCTTTTATGGATGCATGGTATTCCATGGCATATATGTGCCATATTCTCTTTGTCCAGTCTATTATTGATCGGCATTTGGGTTGGTTCCAAGTCTTTGCTATTGTAAACAGTGCCTCAATGAACATACCTGTGCATGTGTCTTTATAATAGAATGATTTATAATCCTTTGGGTATATACCCAGTAATGGGATTGATGGGTCAAATGGCATTTCTATTCTGAGATCCTTGAGGAAGTGCCACACTGTCTCCCACAATGGTTGAACTAATTTACACTCCCACCAACAGTGTAAAAGTGTTCCTATTTCTCCACAT